TCCATTTCCAAAACGTACTTATGGGCCCAAAACGGACATCGTGTGCAAAAGTTACGCTCAGTTCTTCGTCCGTCGACTCTCCAGGCATTCTAAATATGTAAGTGCTCATTCTTTCGAGAAATGGCCAAAATCCCTCATACGCCATGACAAAGTGGTGAGTTCAATCCAAAACGGTCGCTACATTTCCAAATATGTACTTATGGGCCCAGAATGGACACCGTGTGCAAAAGTTACGCTCAATTCTTCGTCCACCGACTCTCCAAGCGTTCTAAATATGCAAGTGCTCATTCTTTCGAAAAATGGCCAAAATCCCTCGTACGTCACGACGAAGTGGTGAGTTCAATCCAAAATGGTCGCTACATTTCCAAAAAGTACTTATGGGCCCAAAACGGAGACCGTGTGCAAAAGTTACGCTCAATTCTTCGAACGCGAACAATCCAAGCGATCCAAATATGCAAGTGCTCATTCTTTCGAAAAATGGCCAAAATACCTCGTACGTCACGACGAAGTGGTGAGTTAAATCCAAAATGGTCTCTGCATTTCCAAAACGTACTTATGGGCCCAAAACGGACATCGTGTGCAAAAGTTACGCTCAGTTCTTCGTGCGCCGACTCTCCAAGCATTCTAAATATGGAAGTGCTCATTCTTTCGAGAAATGGCCAAAATCCCTCATACGCCATGATGAAGTGGTGAGTTCAATCCAAAACGATCGCTACATTTCCAAAAAGTACTTATGGGCCCAGAATGGACACCGTGTGCAAAAGTTACGCTCAATTCTTCGTCCGCCGACTCTCCAAGCGTTCTAAATATGCAAGTGCTCATTCTTTCGAAAAATGGCCAAAATCCCTCGTACATCACGACGAAGTTGTGAGTTCAAACCAAAACGGTCACTACATTTCAAAAAAGTACTTATGGACCCAAAACGGACACCGTGTGTAAAAGTTACGCTCAATTTTTCGTACGCCGACTCTCCAAGCGTTCCAAAAATGCAAGTGCTCATTCTTTTGAAAAATGGCCAAAATACCTCGTACGTCATGACGAAGTGGTGAGTTCAATCCAAAAAGGTCGCTCCATTTCCAAAACGTACTTATGGGCCCAAAACGGACATCGTGTGCAAAAGTTACGCTCAGTTCTTCGTCCGTCGACTCTCCAAGCGTTCTAAATATGCAAGTGCTCATTCTTTCGAAAAATGGCCAAAATCCCTCGTACATTACGACGAAGTTGTGAGTTCAAACCAAAACGGTCACTACATTTCAAAAAAGTACTTATGGACCCAAAACGGACACCGCGTGTAAAAGTTACGCTCAATTTTTCGTACGCCGACTCTCCAGGCATTCCAAAAATGCAAGGGTTCATTCTTTCGAAAAATGGCCAAAATACCTCGTACGTCACGACGAAGTGGTGAGTTCAATCCAAAATGGTCTCTGCATTTCCAAAACGTACTTATGGGCCCAAAACGGACATCGTGTGCAAAAGTTACGCTCAGTACTTCGTCCGCTGACTCTCCAAGCATTCTAAATATGTAAGTGCTCATTCTTTCGAGAAATGGCCAAAATCCCTCATACGCCATGACGAAGTGGTGAGTTCAATCCAAAACGGTCGCTACATTTCCAAAAAGTACTTATGGGCCCAGAATGGACACCGTGTCCAAAAGTTACGCTCAATTCTTCGTCCGCCGACTCTCCAAGCGTTCTAAATATGCAAGTGCTCATTCTTTCGAAAAATGGCCAAAATCCCTCGTACATTACGACGAAGTTGTGAGTTCAAACCAAAACGGTCACTACATTTCAAAAAAGTACTTATGGACCCAAAACGGACACCGCGTGTAAAAGTTACGCTCAATTTTTCGTACGCCGACTCTCCAAGCATTCCAAAAATGCAAGTGCTCATTCTTTCGAAAAGTGGCCAAAATACCTCGTACGTCACGACTAAGTGGTGAGTTCAATCCGAAATGGTCTCTGCATTTCCAAACCGTACTTATGGGCCCAAAATGGACATCGTGTGCAAAAGTTACGCTCAGTTCTTCGTTCGCCGACTCTCCAAGCATTCTAAATATGTAAGTGCTCATTCTTTCTAGAAATGGCCGAAATCCCTCGTACGCCACGACGAAGTCATGACTTCAATCCAAAACGGTCGCTACATTTCCAAAAAGTACTTTTGGGCCCAAAGCGGACACCGTGTGCAAAAGTTACGCTAAATTCTTCGTACGCCGTCTTTCCAAGCGTTTCAAATATACAAGTGCTCATTCTTTCGAAAAATGGCCAAAAT